GCCCTGCGCTTCCTGTGAGCGCCAGTCCTGCCTTGAGAACCTTCCTATGTCCGCAGGCTCTTGAAAACAAAGATGTTCCCTCCCAAGCAACAGACACCTCCCAGAAATAGAGACCCGTGTCCGTCCCGGGCCTCCTGACGGGGTCAGCAACACCGGGCACCGTGCGGTGGAATTCTGTCGAAGATGGCAGAACCATCCCTCCCGTTTTCCCCCTTTTCTTCCTGACTCCCTGGAGGCAAAATAGAAGATGTTGGATGCATAAAGCATTAACAAATGCATAAATGCATAAAGTGCCTGGAAGCACTTGAGCGAGCGTCTCATCTCACTGAGCTGAGAGCCGATCCTGGATCCCGGGTGGGCTGTGTGGTGCGCCTGCCTGAGGTGTCCGAGGTGTCGGGTCCCAGGGCACAGGGGGATGGAGGGCGCAGGTGGAGTTAAGGTTGCTGCTCAGCGGCGGGGGAGATGGGGAGATCATGCTGGATCGTCGCGCGACGCAGGCAGGAACGTGAGCGGCCTCTCAAGGCTGAACAGAACAGGGAAATGGCTCATCCATGGAGCCTCCAGGAGGGGACACGGCCCTGCCCACCCTTTGGTTTTACCCTGTGCCGACTGGAGGGACTCCTGACCTCCCCGACTTCTAGACAAGACGTTTGTGCCGTTTGAAGCTTCTGCGCTCCTGGGAATGTGCTAGAGCGGGAAGGGGGTACGGCCTGCTTCTGCCCCTGCCGGCACTCCCGCCTTGCTCCAATTCCAAAATGTTAAGTTACTTTTTGACTCTTAAGCAGACTCAGTGCGGTTTGCAAAATTTAGCCGTGCCCACTGTAAACCTTCAGTCCTGTCTCTGGCTCAAAGCACCCCCACGTTGCCCCAGTGAGGGGAGGGGAGGAAGGGGTGGGAGCCCCCTCAGCTCCCCTGCACCCCACCCTGCACTACTTCCCTGGTATTGCACTGAGGAGGACAGACAGACAGACAGACAGGCTCCCACCAGTGGCCATTCCTGCTGATCACGTCTGCGGTCCCTGGTGGCCCCTCGAGAGACTCGGCCGCATCTGTGACCTGACCGCCAGCAGCTGGCCCTACAAATGCCCCTCTGTCCCATGCGGCCTGCCCCCCACAGTCTTATCTACCCCAGGCTGGCCGACACAGTGGGGTCCAGCTTCCACACGGCCAGCACAGGCCCTCCACTGGCCGTACGCCCCACCGCTGCTCCTCTCTGGCAACACCTGGGCCACTAAACTAACCGGGAGCCCAGAGGACACCCAATGAGGACAATGTGTGGTTCCTCGGGGCCTTCCTCGCTCAGCTGCCTTCTCCCAAAAAACAAGCTCGTCTCGGTTCTGTTGAGCAGGCATCTCTCCAGTCCACGGGGAAGAGTGCTATTTCTCTGGCCCTGGAACCCCTGGGGGGCTTGGGACTTCCATTTGTGGCCCCCACCACCTCACTACCATCGCTATGCTCCTGAAAGCAAGGCATCCTGAGCCCCACGAAGCCTGTCCCTGATGCCTGGGGCCATGGTGACCGAGATCAGCAGTGGGAGGCCTGGGAGCTAGACAGAAAGCATTCTGCCTCCTTCTTGCTGGGGGACCTTGGGCAGGCCCTGTCCCCTCAGCTTCCAGGTCCAGGAAAGCGTGTGGCACAAGGATGAAGCGAGGGGAGAATGGAAAGCCCCTGCAGACCGCATGTGCGCTGGACACCCTCAAAATGTCTGCTGGCAAATCAGAGCCGCTCCGTCTTTAAGAACAGAACTGTGAGCGAAGTTCTCAAAAGTGTCCCATGTTTCATTTTGCTAACATCATCCTTCTTCCTCTTTCTTCCCCCGGACACGGAGGACAATGACATTGCTTTGAACTTGAAATCTGAGCAGTAGCTTTTCATGGAAGCTACACTACGTGGTTAATGGGGTTTTTTTGGTTTTTTTTAAATCTTCTCAAAGTAAATACACATGGTGTTTTTGGGGTTTGGGGGGAGGTTTTTTGGGTTTTTTTGTTTGGTTTGGTTTGGTTTTTGTTTTCAAGGAGGCCCCACGCCCAGCATGGAGCCCAATGCAGGGCTTGAACTCACGACCCTGAGATCCAGTCGAACGCTTAACTGACTGAGCCACCCAGGTGCCCTGTAAATACACATAGTTTTAAAAAGTCAAGTAATTCAGAGGGCTTATGGTGGAAAGTTGCAGCCCCCTGTCTTCCCACCTCCATCCTTGTACCCGCTCATGCTCCTCAGATCAACCTTTTTTTGTTTGTCTGTTTGTTTTTGTTTCTCATATGCAATAGCTCTTAACTCTTGTGCCCTGGTATTTACTTCGGTAGCCTTAAAGATTGTTTATGTTGCTTTTTTGAGAAATCCTTAAAGATTAAACAGAAAGACAAAAGATAGAAAATATGAGAGACAAATTAGACAAAGAACCAGGAGACACACATCTGAGTATAAGAGAATGGAGGGAAGAAAATTGTTTGTCCATCTGTCCATCTATCCATCCATCCACCCATTCATCCATCCATCCATCCACTCATCCATCCTTCCTTCCTTCCATCCTTCCATCCACTCATCCATCCATCCATTCATCCATCCTTCCTTCCATCCACTCATCCATCCATTCATCCATCCTTCCTTCCATCCACTCATCCTTCCATCCACTCATCCATCCATCCATCCATCCATCCACTCATCCATCCCTCCTTCCATCCATCCATCTACTCATCCATCCTTCCATCCATCCATCCATTCATCCATCCTTCCTTTCTTCCATCCATCCATCCACCTACCCTTCCATCCATCCATCCATCCATTTATCCTTCCTACCATCCATCCATTCATCCATCCATCTAACACATCCATCCATCCACCCACCCACCCATCCTTCCTTCCTTCCATCCATCCATCCATCCATCCATTCCCCAGAGCTAAAGAAGGTTAGGCTCCAATTAGGTTTATTGAACAAAGAGTCCACCCTCTGATGCGTGGGCATTTTCTTAAGTCCAGTGCCTTTCGACTTCCCTGTGCCCTGCAAAACCAAATTTCACAGGGCTCTCCTGAGAGCCAAGTTTCTAGTCTCCAGGCTTCTCCTTTTTCCCTTTGTTCTTCTTCCTCTATTGCTTTCTTCTGTGCACCATGAAAAGGTGATTTACGACCAAACCTCTGCTGAGTACATGCCTGGGGGTTGGGCTACCTGGCTAGCTGACACTTCACTCTTTTAAGAGTAAACCCCCAGCACATCCACCACCATGGATAAATGACAAAAGCATAATGCTGAGCGAAAAGTAGAGCAAGAAAGCTGCAGAATGACGTGCATACAATGCCACTAGTTACATACAATTGGTTTTACTATGTATAACTTTATGAATAGCCAAAAGCCATTCTGTCTGATCAAGCCAAACCTTCATGAAAGAAACTGAGCTTGGAACTGAAAACCCAAATTATAATAGAATGACGGCATAAATGAAGATACTACGCCGGTAATACAAACACGTGTGTGAATGGTAAGCCACGTCAGAAGTCTTTGCAGGAATCCTGGCCTTAGCAGCAGCCTAGTTTTGCTCTTGTTCCTCTGCCTGGCTCCCCATTTATATCACCAGCATCGCTCCAAAGCGTGACTTGGACGTGCTCTGTGTGAGCATGCATGGGTGAGTCTCCATCGGCTAAACGATGACACAGGAAGTGGATTCTCGTCACATACCTGGGATACGCCAGGCCTCAAGGATCATTTTTTTTTACTCAGATATCCAAATGAACAGGCAGAGTGCCCATGCCCTGGATGAGGGGGGCCCCCGCTCCTCCCCCAAGAGCTTCCTGCCTTCCTGGAGGCTACTCCTAGGAGTCCAGCCCGCAGCCTGCTCCCCACTGTGGCATACATCACCCCTGCTTGGAAAACTACAGCACACATGGCATCACTCCCCAGGCTCTGTTCGCACAAGCTTTTATTGTGCAACTTCATTGCAGACTGGATGGTAACGGAAGATTGCAGCACAATATCATACAGGCAACTTCTTCAAGTTAAATGTTAGTCATCATCGTCCTACAAAAGCGTGGTCATCCTCCACCACAAGGACTTTCTAACAATCCTCAAACTTTCTGCTCTCTTACTGTTTTCTTCCCTTTTTTCCCCCCTCTCCCACCCCCCCCCAGCTTTACTGAGGTATAATTGACTTATGACGTTGTATAAGTTTAAAATGTACAGCGTGTTGATTGAATACACTTGTGTATTGGGAAACGCTCAAGGTTTCCGTCACGTCGTGATAAGAACATTTAAGATCTGGGCTCCTGGGTGGCTCAGGTGGTTAAGGGTCTGGCTTTGGCTCGGGTCGTGATCCCAGGATCCCAGGATCCCAGGACTGAGTCCCATATTGGGCTCCCTGCTCAGCGGGGAGCCTGCTTCTCCCTCTGCCCTTCACCCCACTTGTACTCTCTCTCTCAAATAAATAAATTAAAAAAAAAAATTTAAGATCTGCTCTTCCCAGACTCTCTGCTTCCCGAGTGGGCCAGCTTTCAGCCCCCAAATTCCTGTTCCTTTTCCCCAGCAGACTAACTCAATTTGCCTTGCATTTTTACCTTCCCCCTTCTGACCACGCCTCGCTCAAGGAGACCCATCGAGGTATTTTTCTAACCCCCACCTCCAAAAAAAATAAATAGGAATTAAGTCTATGTTGCCCCTTCGATATAAAAGTACCTGCGGTCGGTGATTGCTTTCAGCAGCGTCCCCCATCCCCTGCGTGTTTGACAATCCAGGAAAGAACAGCGAGGAAGCCTCCAGGTGCGTATCCTGTCTGCAGCGCTCGTGACTGCCCTGGGAAGTGCAGGCCGGCAACCCCACCCCCATGTTGCACAGGAGGACAAGCCTTGCCAGGGGTCTCCCAACTGCTGATGGGCAGGGTTTGCCCGAGCCAACGCCTGCCTGAGCCCCTAAGCAGGGGTATCCCCCCGGTGACGTGGTAGACAACGGCCCCCACTCCTCCCCGCCGGATGCCCCTACTCATGTCTCGTTCTTCTGTCTCCATTCTCCTCAGGGCCCCACTGCGATGGATTGGTGGAGGGACAATTTCTGGATCATCATAGCTGTGGCCATCATCCTTGTCTCCTCGAGCCTGGGCCTCATCCTGTACTGTGTCTGTAGGCAGTTGCTAGGACAGGGTAATGGCCGTCTCACCTGGGCAGGTGGAGGGCGGGGAGGGCTGGGCTGCAGATCCGTGCACCAGGGCTCCTACAGGGCAGGCAGATTCGTTCCGGGCCTGTATTGGCTGAATTTTGGATTAAGCATCATGCATCTCTGGGCCTCGGTTTCCCCGTCTGCTCAGCCCATGATCGACATGTTGGCTACCACGATTGCCTTCTCTGAGGTCATCCTCTGAATGTTCTAGTATGACAGGGGTTCCTGGCACCCCCAGAATACAAATGAGCAGCTTCCTGAAGGCTCTATGCTAACTTTAGATTATCTACAAGTGGGTTTCCACTGTGCTGTTCACCTCCCAAAACATGAAATCTTTGATCCGATGGTGTGTTTTCTCGAGATCATATCCCCTCCGATGACCTGAAAGCTCAGGGCCACACAAGGAGTGAGACCTTGTCATTCTCCTCAATCTGTTTTTGGAGATAGACAATTAAGGTTCAGAGAGAGGCAAAGCCTTGACTGAGGTCTCATAGGAGTTAGTGGCCGAGTTGGGACCAGAACTCACGTCCACTGGGCCTCCTGTCCAGTGTTCCTTCGCCTCTACTCCTTGATGGTAATTAGGGTTTTTTTTTAAAGCCTTTTTTTTTTTATTAGAGAGAGAGAGAGAGAAATGGGGGGGAGGGCGCAGAGGGAGAAGCAGACTCCCTGCTGAGCAGGGAGCCCATAATTAGTTTTTTTTAAGTACAAATCATATTCTGGCTCCTAGACTCCTCTGTCCATTTGCCTTCTTAAATTGTTTCCTTTTTAGATAAGCACAAAAGCTTGGCCCTGAACAAAAACCTTACCTGTTCTCTTTTATCTCGACCCAAGGCTATTAACACGTAGGTTATCATTCACAGTAATTTGCATGCCTTGCACACCACAGTTCACAGACTGCTGTCCCCATTCTTTCTCTCATTTCCCCCAACCACGCTTTGGGCTCCTCATCTGACCACTATTTCTGAGCACCAGCTCCATAGTCGGCAGGAGCTGAGGAAGGAAGCAGGGTCCGCCCTCAGGGATTAGCGAAAGGCTGGGTGGGCAGAAGGCCCGTGGTAAAGTCAGTGTCCGCCGCTCACCAGCCCCACGTCCCCAAGTCTGTTTCTTCTTGGTGGTTCTTTCCCCAAATGCCCTGAACACACCTGGTGTCTGAGGACTTCTAAACGGTGAAGTCACACCTCCTGCTCATGCTTCCTAAATGGATATGCTTATTTGATTCCTTAGGCAAGAAGTGGGAAGTTGCCAAGCCCTGGGTAGAAAAGCAAGGAGACGAAGAGAAGATGTATGAGTAAGTAAGAGGAAAGCCTGGTCCTTTGGTAGAGGTCACAGGTCAGGCTCTGTGTGCTGGGCCCACCACTCAGGATTAGGTCTACCCTCCTCTTCTTTTAAGGTTTTATTTTTAAGTCATCTCTACCCCCAACGTGGGGCTTGAACTTGCAACCCCAAGGTCAAGAGTGGCTCGTTCCACCGACTGAGCCAGCCAAGGGCCCCGCTTCCTTTTCTTTAAATGGATCCCAAGTATAGTCCCCTTAAGGCTGTGTACTTAACGAAAATATGCCACTCACTTTCCTCTTGTATTTTGTGATATATTTGTTTTTTTTTTTTTAAGATTTTAGTTATTTATTTCACAGAGAGAAAGAGAGAGAGCGCACATGCACGAGCAGGGGGAGGGGCAGAGGGAGAAGCAGGCCCCCCACTGAGCAGGGAGCCCCATACGGAACATGATCCCTGGGATTATGACCTGAGCCGAAGGCAGACACTTATCGACTGAGTCACCCAGGTGCCCCAATTTGGGGCTTTTGTGATTGCTATGTGTTGGGGGTACCCAGGTTCACCTTTAGACTTGATGACTCACGAGAAGGACTCACAGGTTTCAGCCGTAGAGCGGACAAGTCCATCCTGGCCTCTGAAGGGGCTGGAGATGGGGTAGATATTAACTAGTGCTTGGCTTCTTCTGCTCAAAGATTTTGTGAGTGTCCTTGCGTGTGGTTGTAGACGGTTCATCCTCACTTCTGTAGAGCGTTCCACGGTGGGAGTGGACCGTGATGAGTTTATCTACTCTGGGGCTGATGCGCATTTGGGTGGTGCCCAGTTTGGGGCTGTTGTGCGTGGTGCCGTGATGAACATTCTGGTCAACCCTGTCCTTTCTCTTTGATGTTTTCCTTCCAGTCGGCTGGTGGTCAAAAGCACACCCTGACTCCTCCTCTTTCTTTCTCTCTTCAGGAATGTTAATGAATCGCAGGTTCAGTTACCCCCTCTGCCACCCAGGGGTTTGCTTTTTCCGGAACACACTCGTAAGTATCTGTCGCTGACAACAGTTTCATTCAGGGTAGGATAACAAATTTATCTAAATGTCTTAGCTCAGGCTGCCCACAACAAAATACCATAGGCTAGGTGGCTTAAACAACAGAGAATTTATTTTCTCATGGTCCTGGAGGCTAGAAGGTGCCAGCCAGTTTGGCCAGGGGTGATGGGGGTAGGGAAGAGGGAGAGAGAGCAAGCATTCTGGTGTCTCTTCTTATAAGGACGCTAAGCCTATGAGATCAGGGACCTACCCTTATGACCTCATTTAGCCTTAATTACCCCCCTTCGGGGCCCCATCTCCAAATACAGCCTCCCTGGGGGGTTAGGACTTCAACGTATGAGTTTTGTGGGGACAAAGAACTTCAGTCCATAACACTAGAATCTGCTGGTAGTACCATCCTTTAGAAAGGGACAAATAAATGAAAAAGGGGGCAGAGTGAGTAGCAATGCTCCTGATATTCAGTGTGTAAATTCATATGCAAATCCCAGGTTGGAGCAGGAGTGAAAAGGAACGTGGAGGTGTCGCTGGGCCTCCCACACTTTCCATCAGAAACCCTCTGCCTGGTTTGTTCTTGACTGGAATGTTCTTCCTTAAGCTGCTTCTGTAGTGGACACACTTCATCCTTCACGGTCAGCTCAAATGTCAGCACCTCGGGGCACCTGGGGGGCTCAGTCGGTTAAGGAGCTGACTCTTGGTTTCAGCTCAGGTCATGATCTCGGGGTCCTGGGATCGAGCCCAGAGTCGGGCTCCCTGCTTAGTGCGGACTCTGCTTGCCCTTCTCCCTCTACTACTCCCCCTGCTTGTGCTCTCTTTCTGTCAAATAAATAAAACCTTGAAAAAGAAATGTCAGCACCTCAAAGAGTGCCCTCCTGTCTACCCTCTCTAAAGTGAACCCACTAATTCTCTTCATAGAACTTATGGCAATTACCCAAAGTTGTCTTACTTCATTACTGTTCATTGGTGTCTGACCTCCCTCCTCCACTAGAATACGAAGTGCAAGAAACAGGAACGTTTCTGGTCTTGCTCACCACTTTGTACCCACCACCAAGAGCAGTGCCTGCAGCTTAGGAGATAACAAGGATGTCTTGATTGAATGGATAAATCATAAGATCAGCCCACATTTACTGGGCAGCCCGGTGGGCCAGGCCCCGTGAGAGGCACTTTACAGGCATGATCTCACGTAGTACCCTCAACAACCCCGCGAGGCAGGTACATCATAATTCCCCTTTGACGGGTGAGGACACTGAGGCACAGAGACATTCAGGGGCTCACCCATGGTGACACAGCGAGTGATCGCTGGAGCCTGGGTATGAACTGGGAACTGACCACAGAGCCCTGCAAGAAAGGAGGGGTGGACCTCTCTCAGGTCCTTGTAGGAAGGACGAGATTGTGGGAGAGGCAGCTCCGGTCTCATCTGGGGTCCAGCTCGCTGTGTCATCATCCTTCCCCTGGACGCCTTGGTGTTTTTGCTACATACCCTAATTCCCCATTCTGCAAACACCACTGTCTCCTTCCTTCTGAACAGAGATTCGTACCTCAGCAATTATGGGAAGTTCTGGAAAACACTAAGTCACTGGGAGGGATGTGCCCAAAAAGGAAATGTGGTTTGTACCACTTCCCCCACAAGAATGAGGGTCTCACATGACTCTACTCATCTGGGTACTGGCTCAGTTCAGCTTGCTGTCTACACTTCTGTTTCATGGTTCCCATGCCGTGGAGGGCAGGCAGAGGGACACGTGAGCCACGGTGTTGGCCCAACATCTGCCCTCGACCCGCTTGGGGGATCCCGAGGCTGTATCACATCCGTGCATCAGTTTTCCCCGTCAGATGGGGGTCTGGTCCACCAGGGAGTGGGAAGATCACCCAAACCCATGAAAATCATGCTGAGTCACCTCGTCAAAAAATATACACACACACAATAGCTTCGCCTCTAAGGGCCGTTTTGTGTGTTCTAGTCCCACAGGAAAGCCCAAGTCAGCCGCCAGCTACATACTCACTGGTCAACAAAGTTAGAAACAAGAAGACAGCGTCCATCCCCAGCTACATCGAGCCCCTGGACGATTACGACGATGTGGAAATCCCCGCAAATACGGAAAAGCAGCGTTTCTGAGACAACCGTCCCTTCTTTCCCGGCAAATTGAAGAGGGTTCGCACGGCTGTTTAAACCAACAGGGAATGAACTGCAACAGATCGCGGGATCCCACAAGCCAGCGGTAATGTGGCAGAGCTTTAGAAAATAAACACCTCCCGAAGCTTAGAGCCAGAAGCATCAGCATCCAGGAACAGGGGCCGAGGCTCCGCCCCGGAGACCTAGCTGGGTCAGGCCTGGAACTACTGTCCACGGGTCCCCCCGCCCCTGGGAGGGCCTGGGTCCCGTGGCTCCCCGCCCCCACCCATGAGAAACACTCCTCCCCTTCTCTTCTCTTGTTTGCTCTAAGTGATGCTAAATCTTGGTGTTTGGCTGCCGAGCCTCCAGGCTCCCGTCCCCAGCTTGGCCCCAGGGGTCCCCCCAGCTCTCCCTCCCCCCCCCACAGGGCTGTGGGCGGCCGTTCCAGCTGAGCGCTCGGTGTGTGCAAGTCACCGCATCACACCTTGCAGGTTCTTCAAGAGTGAGTAGTGCTTTTTGTCCTTGTGAACCGTCCCCGCCTACACACACCCCAAACCCCAGAGCTCTCCATGACGTTGGCCGGATGGACCACAGAGATTCAAATTCTCACTGACTTTTTCTTGTGCTTCTCGGTGGCGTATTGTGATAATCAACAAGGACAGAGGTTAATCACCATCTGGACCAAAGCACACACGTTCCACACAGCAGGGTCATATTGCAATATGTGTCCTGGGGGAGCCGTAGGAAAAGTAGGCTTCCCTGGGGAAAGTCATGGGCAAGAGGAAAGAAAGGGACAATTAAGGGCAGATTCAAGAGGAGAGTTCCTTGCGTCATATTCTGTGCAAACGGCACCGAGATCGCTGTCCCCGAGCGCATCTGGGAGGCAGAACTCCATAGTGTGGAGGTGCCACTGGCGAGATACAGGGAGGGGGTCGCTGTCCTGCTACAGAAGTGACCTCATCCCCGAGGCCTGAGTCAGCTTGGAGGCTCTGGAACTTCATCTGTTCCTTGGCCTTGATCTGTTGGAGGCCTCGGATTGGCGCATCCTAAGCAGACTGGAGATGCGGATTGCTAAGCAATCCCTGGGGAATCCAGCAAGCGCAGGCTTGCAGGGAGAGCGACGTGAACCTCAGAAAGGCCGGGAGTGACCCTTGGACTGAGCTCCTCCTCAAGAGATGGACGGTGTGGGTCTGCTGTGTTCAAGCTTCCTCCCTCCAGGACTGCTGAACCAGTGGGGACAGGTGCTTCCTCCAGCTTCTTTCTAGATTCCTGGCAGACCTCCAGCTTCCTGTGTTACCACTGCCTTATGGTAGGCCAGACAGTCCTCTAACTGTGGCCTGGCAGAACTCCAGAACCCCGGGAGCCAGAGAGGACTCCCTCCCCAAGTTATAGGGGAAAAAAATTAGTAAGCCAAAGGACACAAGTGTTTCGGAAGTATGCTTCCCTCTTACAAATTGTCTGTAAAGCCTCCCCATCTACGACAAAAGTTAGAAGCAAATACCAGAGAGGTGTTACCTCCTCCTTGGTTTCTAGGATGGCACCATCTCCTGCCGGCCCACCCCCCACCCCCACCCCAAGACAACCCTTCATCACAGGTCCTCCTCAGGCTCTTCCCGGTACCTGCCCTCATCCCCCTTGAAACACCAGCGAGGGATCCGTGGGCTCTGTGCCCCTCTATTCTCATGGCTCCAGCTGAGCCCAATCCTCAGTCCCAGACCGGCTGCCCCCAGGACATGCCCCCAGGACCCCCCAACAGGCCTCTCAAGCTCCACGTACCCCGAAAGGGATGACGGCCCACCCCCAATCCCAGACTCCCTGTGCTCTGCTACCTTCTCAGTCCCTGGAGTCAGAAACTGGCACAGTGTGCGGAGTTCTCCTCCTTCCCGGCGGCCCCGCTCTGTGACCGCGCCTCTCTGGCAGCCCCGGGTCGGGCAGCCTCCCGGCCGGTCTCCTACCACTAATGTCTCACCCTCCGCTCCCCTTTCTATGCGGCAGCCAGCGCTTTTCTCAAGGGGACATCTGACTGCTCCAGTCTCCTGAGCCTCAGAAAAACCCCGAAGTCCTTAATATGGGTTACGAGATTTGTCAGGATCCGGTCCCCAGGTCTCTCCTACAAGCTTCTCCTCCCCAGCCCCTTGCAACTTCCACTCCAGCCAAATTTTTGCTCCGATCATTTGAAATGACCTGGTCTGGGGTCTCTCTGGCCCCTACGGCTAAGTACAGTGGCCTCCTGTCTGTCTAGAACATTCTTCCCCACCTTCTCATCTTTTCCATCTCTGCTTAGAGCCTTTCCTCACCACCCCACACTTGAATCTGGTGCCCTACTAGACGCTCTCCTCCCATAGCATTAGCACCCTGGGATGACCTGTTTATCTGTCTTTCTCCCCCACTAGACTGACGGCAACGTGGGGACAGGGACAGTGTCTTTCCCCCAGTGTTTTCTGTGTTCCTAGCACGGTGCCCAGGATCTTTGTAGATACTCAATAAACGGCAAATGAGTGATCAGTTGAACGAATGAATGAATGAATGAACTTGGCCTTGTAGAAATACATCTCTCTCTCTGCCTTATAATTGCCTGGTTACTTCTCCATCCTCTTTCTAATCTGGGGGCTCCTTTGGGGTGGAACCTGCCTGGCTCACTGCTATGGTCCCAGTATCTAACACGAACTCTGGCACACAGTAGGCCCTTAATAAACATTTATTGGATGTTGCACATTACTAGAAAACCTACCAACCAGTTCGAGAAAAGCAAATAAGCAGTTTTTCCCTGAGCATGTATGATTTGGTTGCGATTTTACACTGGGTACCTGTAATAAAGCCATGTTTTTACCAGTTTGGTAAGAAAAGAAAAGAAAAGTTTTTACCAATTTGGATGATAGCATTAAATATATCAAGATTTGGCAGGGCCTTTTTGTCTATTCTAGCCCCCTAGGGACCCCCCAAGTCAGCCGCCAGCTCCATACTCACAGATAAAGGTAAAAATAAGAAGAGTTTCCATCCCAAGCATATGGAGTCTCAAGGTGACCATGATGATGTTGAAATTCCTACAAATATCGAAGACTATCATTTTGAAACAAGTCCTGTTCTGTCATCTGAACTCTTTGGAGAACTGGTGATTTACTCATAGTCAGTGGATTGTAGTTTTCTTTAAAACAGTTAAGTCTGATCTTTATGATACAAATACAATTGCTTTCAGGAAATGCTCTGGTATTACCAGTAACAAATTTTTACAAATCATGTGTATCAGTTAGTATGCTTCAGACTGCAAGGAACAGACTGCCCAACGATGGGGAACGTATGGCCTCACACAACAAGTCTACAGGTAAACATGGCAGGATTCAGCAGTTCTAAGACTCAGGGGCAGGGGCTGACTTTTCTTTGATTCTCTTAGTTTTACAACTCATGGTGGCAAGGTAACTGCCACAGCTCCAAGTATCACATCCCCACATGATAACATTTCAAGTTAGGAAAGAATGGGGTGTTTCCTCCCCCGTAGCTCTTTTTAGAGAACATCTTTCCTGGAAGCCCCAGCGACTTTCCCTGATGTGTCGTTGGCCTGGATTGGTGCACATGCCCGTCTGTGGGAAACACTGGGGAGTGAACATGGGGCATTTTCAGCCTTTCTCACTGGAGGTGGGCTTTGCCATCAAGGAAAAAGGAGGCAAGAGCTGCTGGATAGGCAATCTCCCTGGGTCAGTTCACTTTCACAAATACTACTCATTATTTGCGCTTGTTTCTGTGACCCTGCCAGGGGTCTTGGGGGTTCAGGCCAAAGTCTGGTGTCCAGATCTTTCTTCTCACAGGGTTTCCACACATCAAAATAGACAGAGGGCTGCGGTCAGATGGGAATAGTAACAGTAAAAGCCCTAGCCAAGCAGGAGCGCCACTCTGTGTCGGAGTTCTGAGGTTTTCACTGAACAATGTAACCATGTCCAGGAGCTTCCCGGGCTCGTGGGGTGCGCTCTGAGAAGAGCTTGAGCCTCCTTCCGCCTCCTCACCCTCCTCACCCTCCTCACCCTTCTCACCCTCACTGCTCCTCCAAACCCACTCTGATGGGCTAGTTCTCCCCCGCCCTCTTGGATGAAATCCCAGGCATGGCCTGCTCCAGCCACGCTCAGGCAGTAGGAAATCCTCCAGGCGTGGATTACGCAAGTGCATGCATTTGTCAAAACTCCGGGAATGCACACTTAAGATTTCTGCATTTCAGCCTAAGTCGATTTTTTTTTTAATTTTTTTTTTTTTTAATTCATGTGACAGAGAGAGAGAGAGGGAACATGAGCAGGGGAGAGAGGCGGAGGGAGAGGGAGAAGCAGACTCCTCGCTGAGCCAGGAGCCTGATATGGGGCTCGATCCCAGGACCCTGAGATCATGCCCTGAGCTGAAGGCAGACGCTTAACCATCTGAGCCACCCAGGCGCCCCAACCTAAGTCGATTTTTAAAAAGATTTTATTTATTTAGAGTGAGGGGGCAGAGGGAGAGAGCATCCCAAGCACACTCCCCGCTGAGCACAGAGCCCACCTCAGGGCTCGATCCCACGACCCTGAGATGACGACCTGAGCCGAAATTAAGAGTCGGGACACTTAACCGACTGAGCCACCCAGGTGCCCCTCAACCTAAGTACATTTTACCTCAAAAGGAAAACTGCCAACAAATACCGGGCCATGCTTCATGATATGCACACCGCAGTGTTTAGGGGAAGGTGCACTGACGTTTGGAGTTCACCTTGAAATGCACTGGAAGGCAAGGCAGCTGGAGAGCCCGCACTTTCGGCCCGAGGTTAAAATGGACCCCCTTGCCGTCACCCCAAGTGCAGGCGGATCTGGGTCTGCAGCGCGGGCTCCAGCCCACCTGCATCCCAACCTGCTCACCCACTTCCTGGAAGAGGAAATGGGGGAGTAGGTGCACATGGGTCAGAGAGGGGGGCTGGAGCCGGTCTCCCTTTCCAGGCAAAAATAACTCCGTCTATATTCTCAGCAAACGTCTCAGGCTCGCCGCAGTCCAAGACTCCCTCCCGACCAAGGATGACCTTTCCTGACCTTGCCTGTGGCCCTCTCCGGAGCTGCGTGGACCAGGGTCGGGGCACTGCCCTGGGGGGTGGCCCAGCCACGGGGCCAGGCCGGAGGCCTCTCCCTCGCCTCCCCCGAATGTGGTCTGCTCTTTGCAGCAGAAGCCCGGGATTCTCCGGGGGCTCCGGTTCTCTCAGCTGGCACCGCGTGTGTGGGGCCTCACCCCCCGACCCCTGCTCGGGGGCTCGAGCACGTGACGCAGCCTGGCCAATCAGAGGTTCTCACTCCCTCAGCCCCCGGCCTGGTTGGCGGATGCTGGGAGGACCAGGACAGGTGCTCTGGGCCGCAGAGGGCGGTCCAGCGCGCAAGGTAGAACCTGTCACCCAGGACTCCCAGCCGAGAGCAGAGACAGTCCAGACCCCGAAGGGCACTGTTCCAGCTCCGGAGGCAGCCGCGCTTTGACGTAGGCATGACCCCTGGACTTCTTAGTAACAGGACTCCATATTCTCCACATGCTGTCAACTCTGCCGCGCCAGGCCCGTGCCCACCATCACTGCCTCAGCTGGGCCTTAGTCCACCTGGCTTAATGCAAAAGCCTCTCCTCCCCCCATCCATCTCCCACTTGTCAGAATGAACGTTCCAAAACAGCAATTTGATTCGGTCAAGGCCCCGCTTACGATCCTTCAGTGGCTCCCTTGTGCCCACCAAGATACCCCCACACTCCTGAGCGCCCCATGCCAGGCCCTGATAACCTGCTCCCTGCTGGCCTCATTTCACTGCCTCCTGGCCTCCCACCACACAGTCTGACCCTGGGAAACCACTCGCAGGCCCCCCTCCCCCCGCCCCCCGGGCCCCTTCCCCAGCATCCAAATAGTGCCAAGGCTTTGTATCTTCCTTCCTTCTGCTGGACCATCCTTCTCCTGCTTCCCCACCTGACACGCTGGGACTCGCCCCTTAGCACCCAGCAGGAACGGCGCTTTCTCTGGGTGGTCTCTCCCCACGGGGCAGGTGCCCCCTTCCTCAGCATCTGTCTCGCACTTCTCACGGGGCATAGCTTCTCCCGCCCCCCGTGGTTACGCAGCTCTCCTTCCCATGAGATGCTGGCCCCTCCAGGGTGAGGGTTATGTCTTAGGGCGAGTCTAGATTCAGGTTTGCCCAGGACGGTTTTGGCTTTGGTGTGAGGTGTCCGTGGGTTGAATGGCACCCTTTCCACTCTCAAAAACGTCCCGGTTTGGAGGATGAATTATCTGTTCACCCCACTTATTCAGTGTCTGCACAGAGCGAGCGCTAGGAGGGTAGTTTTCACGTGAAAGCGCCAATAAGCCATCCTTCCTCGGGCTCATTTTCTTCCACCAAATAAACAGCTGAAGCGGACGACTTCGAAGCCCTCTACCACTTACAGTGAGTCAAATAAAGTCGATAATCCAAAAGGCTAAAACCAGCAGGTCTGAGTTAGCCTCCCCTTGAAAAGGACCCTCCACGCAGAATTCCACATTGCAACCTGCTCACGCCTGGATCAACCACCTTAGCAAACGTCACCGGCTGGGACTCTGGCTATTGGCGCCATAAATACAGCAGATCCCACTGAAGACAGTTCCCTTAGTCCGCCCAGCTGGTGGCTGTAGGATCTCCTAGCAGAGGAAGACCAATTTTCATCTGCTCACACCAGTAGCATCCTTATGGCTCAGAGGTGTGTCCTGAGTTCCCCCCGCCCTCCCCGAGGGCAGGAGAGCCTCTGCAAAATAACACGGCGCCTCGATTAACCCTGGGCTGCCCGAAACCCTCCACCATTAATACGCGAGTAACAAATGACCGCGGCCACATTTCATGCTGGAGGAGCAGAATGTACCCATCAGTACGTGCAAAACCATTGTAAGAAACGGACAACGAATACTGCTGCATCTTGATCCTTCAACTGTAAAACTCGGTTTTTTATATTTACCCACATCTGACTGCCCAAATTTGGTGCGGTTAAAGTTTTAGATCAGCCACAGTTGAACAATTTAAATATTCCACCATGAGGAAACAACACTAAATGGCTTAAAATAACCTTGGTCACTTATTAAGTGATCCCTAAACTAACAGCCTCTGAATTTTTTTTTAAACATTAGATGCCTCGGCATTTTTTTTTTTTTTTAACAATTGGGTATCAGTGGAACAGGAATGGTTTTAATAAAACATATTTGGTTTTAATAAAATTGCAGGGGCCCCTGGGTGGCTCAGTCGGTTAAGCGTCTGCCTTCAGCTCAGGTCATGATCCCAGGGTCGTGGGATTGAGCCCAGAGTTGGGCTTCCTGCTTACAGGGAGTCTGCTTCTCTCTCACTCTCTCTCTCTCCCTCTGCCTGTCCCCACCGCTCATTCTCTCTCTCAAATAAATAAATAAAATCTTTAAAAAAAATTGCAGAAGGGGCACCTGGGTGGCTCAGTTGGTTAAGCGACTGCCTTCGGCTCAGGTCATGATCCTGGAGTCCCTGGATCGAGTCCCGCATCGGGCTCCCTGCTCAGCCAGGGAGTCTGCTTCTCACTCTGACCCTCCCCCCCTCTCATGTGCTCTCTCTCATTCTCTCTCTCTCAAATAAGTAAATAAAAATCTTTAAAAAAAAATTGCAGAAGGTGGTATTTACAAGAAATGAAATTTCCCTGATGGTAAAAAAAAAAAAAGGCTTATTTGCATACCTGTACACTTCTGCCTCCCATGAGGCACCAAACAAAAATAAATTTTCCAATACATTTAATGTCAACTCTCTACAGTGCTGTTCTCATGACCCAAGACAAACTTCCCCTGAGGACATTAAAAATAAATATTACCCTTGCCTTTCCCACTATTGCTTAGAAAAGATATTCAATCATCATCTCATAGATTAAATCTCTGTTGTCTCACTAACCTAGTTTAAAATAATTCCACAATTCTTCACAATTTGAGATTTGCCAGGAAAAAATGAACAAACCAAAACCTTAACGATATACATATTTTTTTAAAAGGTCAGGTTTAGCCTCTTTGGAGAACAGTTGGGCAGCAACCAGTAAAATTGAATATGCAAACACCATACATGACCTGACAAACCCACCTCAGCATACAGACCCAGGAACAGTGCCTTTTGAACTTTTTGGTCCCAGTTCTCCATTACACTCTTAGAAATGAGGCCACCGAAGAGATTTTTGTTTATGCAGAAACTACTGCTATTTACCTTATTGG